TGGGGTTAGGGCAAATCCATGGGTTAGGGGGCGCAAATCCACGGGTTAGGGGGCGCAAATTACTTGCCTTGCCCCGGGTGCTGACAACCCACGCTACGCCACTGGTTAGGAGGACCCCTCCCAGAGTGCAATTCCCAGAGTTCCATGGGAAGATGGATTGACTGTTAAACCAGTCTGGGAATTGTAGCTCTGTAAGGGGAAACAGGTTCTCCCTGCTTGGCAAACTACGGTTCCCTAGGTTCTTTGAGGAAAGCCCTGACTGCGTAACATGGTGTCCACCCTCTTTCTCACCTTTCTTTGAAGGGGAAAGCAATGAGTTTTCCAGGCAAGGAGTCATCCATTCCCCCAAACTGATTTTGTCCCTCTTGTTTTTGCCCAGGTTGTTTTTCTTTTTCCTCTTGGGTTCAGCAAGAGAAGTTGGGCTGGTTTGTTTGTCAAACTGATTATTGCACAAGGTGGCAATTTTTAGACTAAGCAGTTGGCAGCTGGAAGCCCTTTCCTTGGCCCAAATATCAGCCCAAACTGGAAGCAAATGCAAAGGGAGAGACAGCAGTAAAACAGGCTTTTTCCTCAAGTGCCTTCTGAAAACACACATTCCATCAGACTACAGTAAAGGGAGATGAGAGACTTCAGTGACTGTCAGCTCAGCTAAGAGACCAGCAATTTCTGACCCAAGCTGGTCACTAAAAGGTAAAGGGACCCCTGACCATTAGGTCCAGTCGTGACCGACTCTGGGGTTGCGGTGATCATCTCGCACTATTGGCCGAGGGAGTTTCTGGGTCATGTGCCCAGCATGACTAAGCCACTTCTGGCAAATCAGAGCAGCGCACGGAAACACCGTTTACCTTCCCGCCAGAGTGGTACCTATTTATCTACTTGCACTTTGACGTGCTTTTGAACTGCTAAGTTGGCAGGAGCAGGGACTGAGGAACAGCAGCTCACCCCGTCGCAGGGATTCAAATGGCCAACCTTCTTATCGGCAAGTCCTAGGTTTAACGTGGGTCCCTCGTCGCTAAAAGGTGTATATAAAGAACAAGTACCTGAGCTTGCCTTTGCCACCTCATTTACTATAAATTTGCTATAAAATACGCTCTGAAAATGTCGTTACCGTTACTGATACTGTTATCGTTATCGGAACCGTTATCGGCACCGGCACCGTTACCGATATCGTTACCGGCACCGTTATCGTCACAGTTATCGTTACCATTACTGATCAATCCTGGGAACTGTAGAACCCTAGAAGAGCTACAATTCCCAGCATCCTGAGCAAATACAATTCATAGGATTATTTTTTGCAGAGGGAAAATGTGTGCACACAATTCCTGGGTTCTCCCAGGTCGCGAAAAGAACAGTTGAGCATTATTTCATTGTGGCCTGGCACATTTTGAAAAATAAAACCATATTTGAAATCAATTCACCCACAGCCCAATTAAACCTTCCACGTGATATCTGTGACTGGATCTTCCCAAGTAATGTTTTCCCCCCAAAGCAGCTGCGGCTCTGTGTGTGTGTGTGTGTGTGATATTTTGATCAGGGTTGTGGTGTTGGGGATCTGATATTTTTCCCAGCCACCCAGCCACCTGCCCACCCCCACCCTTTCTGCAGCCCAGTCTCAAATCCCTGCCCAAAATTGCTATTAGCCACAGAGGGAAAGCATGTCTGGATTCAGCCCATTTCATCCATTGCAAATTGTAGCTCTGGGGTGGGGGCCAATTTGAGTGGGAGCTGTAGTTTGATCTACACACACCACACCAACACCAACACCCACACACCAAATCTCCACCCCACCCTGCTGCTTGCTTTTAGGGAAATATTATTTGGGGAGATTCAGTCACAGATATCTCCCAATGTAATGTCAATTTTTTTGGGGGGAGGACAAATTGGATTTCTAGTAAGAAATCAATCTTCAGATAATAATCATTATTTTCAGGCCCCTGTCTGAGGCTTTGCCTCTCTAGCTTTTATCCTGAGTTAGACTGTGTTTAAATTTTCATTTAGGCTGCGGGAATGGCTCTCTGCTCATGTTCAGAGGCTTTGCAGTGATTAACACCTGGAGCCTGAGGTTCCAAGGCTTGAGATGCAGCTAAGATTCTTAAGGCAGTTTTTTAAAACTTCTGAAAGAGCACATTCCACCGGACATGTAAGACCCATCAAAGTCTGGCTGATTCCAAGAGACAGGAAGGGAAAGATGCCCTGGGTTCAAATCCTCACTCAGCTATGAAGCTCACTAGTGACCTTGGGCCAGTCAACCTCACAGGGTTGTTGTGAGAGTAAAATGGGGAGGGGGGAGAACCATGCATACCACTTCCATTTTATTGGAGGAATTTTTTTTTTTTTAAAAAAAGAGGAAGCTTTTTATATTTTTTATTTTAAACCCACCTACGTATATGGGAGCATGGCCAATCACGGGACGGATTTGACCTAGGCCTCAAGTACAGAGGGAGCCTCAAATTTAGACAATATGTTTTTAAGCGTGCTGTCATGTTTAGAGCTGTAAATAAGAGATATGTTTTAGTAAGAGACCTCTTTTGTGGTCAACTGATACAGATTTTGTCATTTTTAAAGCATTTGAAATGTCCATCAATATTAAAAAGAAAACAGTTCTGCTGCCTCAAGGTTAGACTGAGCCAAACATGTCCCATCAGACCAATAATTAGTGCATATGCACAGAAAAAGCATTGGGGGGGGAGGGAAGGTTTTTTCTTTTTAAGAAAAAATTCAGATTTTTGGTTTTGTGTTTTGTCTTTTTTTATTTTTTATAACTGCTTGGGGGCCTCAAAAACAGGAAGCAATCTGGGCCTCTCTGAATTTCTCTCTCTTAGAGTAAACCACAGTGTATTGTTATAGTTTATTTATTTAGTATTGCTTTTCAGTTCACAGGGCCTCCTACTCTGGACGCGGGTGGCGCTGTGGTCTAAACCACTGAGCCTCTTGGGCTTGCCGATCAGAAGGTTAGTGGTTTGAATCCCCGTGACGAGGTGAGCTCCCGTTGCTCTGTCCCAGCTCCTGCCAACCTAGCAGTTCGAAAGCACACCAGTGCAAGTAGATAAATAGGTGCCACTGCGGCGGGAAGGTAAACGGTGTTTCTGTGCGCTCTGGTTTCCGTCACGGTGTCCCGTTGCGCCAGAAGCGGTTTAGTCCTGCTGGCCACATGACCCGGAAAGCTGTCTGTGGACAAATGCCGGCTCCCTCGGCCTGAAAGCGAGATGAGCACCGCAGTCCCATAGTCCCCTTTTACTGGACTTAACCATCCAGGGGTTCTTTAGCTTTTTACCTTTACTCTAGTGTAGGGAGATGTCAGCTGCCAGATGTCTCCCTGTGGCACTTTAATGCACACATTACCATGGCAGGACTTCTGCACTGTAGCGGGTTGGTCTAGATGACCCTTGGGTTCCCTTCCAACTCTACAATTCTACGATTCCATGATTCTATGCTTCTAGTCAGCTTTCATATCGAAACCAAATATGAGTCTTGCGGCAACTTAAAGTCATGGTTTGCCCAGACCAGGGGTCTGCAACCAGCGGCTCCGGAGACGCATGTGGCTCTTTTACACCTTTGCCGCGGCTCCAGGGCGGATACTAGCGAGGGGAGGAGGCACATTGTGCGCCCCGACACTCCCCACTGTGGTGGGCGCTGTACTGGCTGTGATGTCGCATGGGGGCGGTGCGTGCGTTAGCCACGCACCGTCCCGACGTCACCTTCCCGCCCGCCCGCCCGCTACATTGTAAGGGGCATGTACGCTGGTCACTGCATTGAAAGGGGGCATGTACTGTTTTGAAGGGGAGTGAAGAACACACACACACAAAAAGGTAACTTGTTAATTTAACGTTTATTTCTATGAGGAGTAATTCTGAGGGGTCAAACAAAGAAATAATAAAAAAGTGACAAAAAAGTTATTTTTATAATGACGAGTTTTGCGGCTCCCAGGTTTTTTTCTTCGGAAACTGGTCCAAGTGGCTCTTTTTGTCTTAAAGGTTGCAGACCCCTGGCCCAGACTATGGGGAGCCAGGAAATATTAATAATTACAATTTGGATTACAATTTGGTCGGTTTTTTTAATTTTAGTTTATTTTAGTTTATTATTTTTAATTGGATTATGATTCGGATATGTTGATTGGATGTTTTTATTGGAAAATCAATAAAAATGATTTTTTTAAAAAGTCATGATTTGCCAGCGCTTCTCCTACTGAAATCAGGTTCCATTAGCCAATATAAGTCCCCCCCCCCCTTGGAATAACAGCAATTGCTTTCTTTTTCCTGGTGTGGGTTGTACAGCTGGGGAGGGAACAGTTGTAGCATTTGATTGGTGCCTATGACAGTTTCTCCGATTTGCCAATGTGCCCTAAAAGGCCGATAACCTCCTGCTCTAAAACCCCAAAAGCCAGAAGGATCATGATCAAAGAGTTGTAAAGGTCAACAATACCAGCACTTTGGATTATGCGGGGAAACACACAATGCTCAACCCTGGTAAGTGTGGAAAAAAAGGGGGGGGGAAATAAGAATGATACGTTTCTGGATAATATGTTTTGTTTTAATTTTGAATAAAAAAGTAATTTAAAAAAAATTCTTCGGCGATCAGCCTTCTTTATGGTCCAGCTCTCACTTCCATACATCACTACTGGGAAAACCACAGCTTTAACTATACGGACCTTTGTTGGCAAGGTGATGTCTCTGCTTTTTAAGATGCTGTCAACTATTGGGGGGGGGGCAAAGACTCCTAGCAGTTGATTTCTAGGACAGAGGGAGGGGGCGAGCCCCCGCGCTTTACCCGGAGCAAAAGCACTTTGCACATGCTCTCCTCCCACCCGGAAAAGATCTTTGCCCTCCCTGTGCGCCGTTCCCCCCAGTATTTGCCGTTCTCACCCTCAGACAGCTGCCCTTGCCCGGGGCTCCCTCGCGCCGGAGGAGTTCCCCCACTTTGGAAAAAAATAATAATACAATCCCTGCAGAGAGGGAGGCGCGCAGGAGGAGGAGGCGGAGGCGGAGCGCGGGCGCGCCTCTCCCCTGGTCGCGTCACCGGCCGAGGCTATAAAGCGGGGCTGGGGACAGGGCTCGCTTAGGCGGCTGCGGGGCTCCGATATGGGGCAGCTCTTCGCGAAGCTGCTGAGCGTTTTCGGAAGCCGCGGTAGGAACCCCCCCACGCTTTCTCGTCGCCCCTGCACCTTGCCTCGTCCCCCCTCCTCCTCTCTTCCTCTCCTCCCGTCCCCTGTTTTCCTCTCTTTTGTTGCAAACTTTGCATCCATCCTCCTTTCTCTTTTGATGGACTTCGCTCTGCTTTCCATTCCTTTGTGTGATTTTTCTCCTTCCCTGGCGGTTCCCCCCCCTTGGCTTCCCTTTTTGCTCTCCTCTTTTGGTTTCTTCCTAGGCTGCCTTCGTTTCTCTTGAGTTGCTCCTCTCTGTTTTGCTGCTGTTCTTCCCCTCTCGTCAGTTTCGCCTTCATCTCTCCCCCCCCCCTCGCCTTCTCTCCGCGTTTGTTTTTGTGTCCTTTCTTCAGTCACTTTCTCTCCCTTCCTCGTCCCCTTTCAAGGAATTTAAGGCCATCTGGGAGGGTGAAATGGAGGGGAGGGGGAGACGAGCCCTGACCTTTTCAACATACCAGAAGAAAGAAGCCCTGGGCTGCTGTGGAAAGAATGGCTTTTCCTGCAAGTTGGGTGCAAAGAGAGTTGGCACGGTGGCCTCGTTTGCACTGCACATGTAAAGCACGATGATACCACTTTAAACAGCCATGGATTCCCCCAAATAATTCTGGGAGCTGTAGTTTGATAAGGGCGCCGAGAGTTCTTAGCAGACCCCCTGTTTCTCTGACAGATCTGCAATTCCCAGAACTCCCTGTGAAAGGGGGGTGGGGTGGACATTTTCGTAGCTTTGTGAAGCATATAGGGACATTGCTCAGCACCCTTAGTATATAGGGACATTGCTCAGCACTACAACTCCCAGGGTTCTTTGGGTGGGGTCTGTTTAAAGTGGTATGATGCTGTTTAAAAACAGTGCAGAAGGAGCCTTCTGTGTGTGTGGTGCCTGAATTGTGTTATCGTTGGAAAGATATTTCCATGTTACAAAGCGGCAGGTGGCAGAATGACACCTGTGTGGGCATCTGCCACCCAACGGTCTACTTGAGATTCCTGCATTGCAGGGGGTTGGACTAGATGGCCCCTGAGGTCCCATCCAACTCTACAGGGTGACTGATCCTGAAAGCTTGGAGGGACGTTGCTGTTGATCATCTATAATGCAGCGTTTTCTCTGAAGCAATTAGCATCTTTCATGTTTCCTTGTGGGCTGCGGTGTACAGAGCCAGCTGACGTATGCATAACTCAATATGTGCCTGGCACGCTTGCTAGGTTAAATAACTTCTGTCTGGTGAGGGCAAAAAACTGACTGGATATGTGTTATTAAGGGGGCAGGCTGGGGTGTGTGTGAAGTGTTGTGTGTGTGTGTGTCTCTTAGATGTAGAGGAGGAGGAGAAAGTCTGTTGGGGAACAGATGGGATAAGGGAACGAGCAAAGGCTGCCTTTGACAGCTGCGTTTAAATGTGAAGTTATTGGGAGGAGGAAAACCTTTAGCTCTTGTACCTCTCTGTGTATTTTCCGTTTGAATCCAGACGGACAATAGAGCAAGAAGATCTAGACCAGGCATGTCCAAAGTCCGTTTTGGGGGCCAAATTCGGCCCGCTGGTCGGTTTAATCCAGCCCCTGTGACAGTTTATAGCTTATTTCCTGGGGTAAAACCCTAAAAAACCCTCAAAAACTTCAATCCTAAAAAAAGGTTAACAACTTTGGTCGGCCCTCACGGCCCTTCACTTCATCAAATCTGGCCCTCTTTGAAAAAAGTTTGGACACCACTGATCTAGACAAATCCATTTCCTTGGGGAATGTTGTGTGTCGGCTGTGCAAGGAAGCCACCGCCCTCCTCCTGGCGACTACAGGAAACTGTGGAAGGTTCAGAGGTTTTCTTTTTTGTGTGTGGGGGGGGGCGGCACAGCCCCTCTTGTTGTCTGTGTTTGGTACAGCTCGCTTGCTCAGGCAGGTGTTTGGTGGCAAGAGGATTTTCCATCCTTTGTTCAGACCATCTTTCATGTTGGTGGGGCCCTTTTGTCTGACAGTGAAAAAACCGCTTCTGCTCAGAGCCTTTTAAGACCTTGGGGGGCGGGAAATGATAAAGACCTCTTTGTGAGAGATTCTTGTCTTGCACACCACTTGCATGCTGGCAAGTTTTGCATTTCCGCTTCTAAATACACGTTTATACGCAGAGGTTCCTTCACACTCCTGTAGAAACACTTGTGACCGCATGTGTTAGTAGGAGAATATTTTCCTGTGAATATTTTCACAAAGCAGGCACAAACCTGCATGTAAGACGCACGCATACTTGCAAATGTGTGCAGACAGACCTTGTTCAAAGTGCTACAAACAGGTGTGTGTGTGTGTGTGTGTGTGTGTGTATGTGTGTGTGTGTGTGCATGTATTGAACACACAGCTGTCCTGGGCCAAAGAATGCAGCCTTTTTCCAACTTGGAGTCTTTCAGAACTACAGCTCCCAGCAGCCCCCACCAGCAAAGCCATGTTATGGCTGATGGAGGATGTAGTCCCAAGCCCCAGGTTGAAGGAGGCTGTCAGTGTTCAAAATTAGCCAGGTGTGTTTTGCACCTGACATCACCATCTGGAGGTGCATGCCTGGGGATCATTAGATCAGGACTGTTTTTATCCACTGACACCCCATCCTGTAGAATTATGTCCGCTATATTTTATCTGCACGATCGGAATGAATATCTGGAACCAAAATGCTTTTTCTGTGCAGCCTGAGCAGGAGCAGGAGCCATTAATAATAGCCAAATATATATGTGGGCTGGTGGCGCTGTGGGTAAAACCTCAGCGCCTAGGACTTGCTGATCGTCAGGTCGGCGGTTCGAATCCCCGCGGCGGGGTGCGCTCCCATTGCTCGGTCCCAGCGCCTGCCAACCTAGCAGTTCGAAAGCACCCCCGGGTGCAAGTAGATAAATAGGGACCGCTTACTAGCAGGAAGGTAAACGGCGTTTCCGTGTGCTGCGCTGGCTCGCCAGATGCAGCTTCGTCACGCTGGCCACGTGACCCGGAAGTGTCTGCGGACAGCGCTGGCTCCCGGCCTATAGAGTGAGATGAGCGCACAACCCTAGAGTCTGGCAATACTGGCCCGTACGGGCAGGGGTACCTTATATATGTGGGCTGTTCCTGGATCAAGCGACTTTTCTTCTTTGAAGTTCTCAAAGCTCTTAACCTAGCTCAAGGTTGTCATCTGAACTAGCCGGATGTTTAACTGAGAATCAATCACAGCCAGTTCATCATTTGGAAAATAAAACATTGGAGCCGCCTTGCCCCAAATTGGCAACTAGACATTCTCTTGCCCTGCTCCTCACCCTCCCTGGGTGCTCTTCCTTAGCTAGATGTGTCTTTGAAGTGTGATGATGCCTCTTGCTTGTAATGGATGGAGAGATTTGTTTGTTGAAACCTCTGGCTTCTGCGCAGCTAGAATTTAACCTACTGCAGGCAAGAGTCTCATCCATCACTGTACAGTCGTACCTTGGAAGTCGAACGGAATCCATTCCGGAAGTCTGTCCAACTTCCAAAACGTTCAGAAACCGAAGCGCAGCTTCCGATATATAGATAGATAGATAGATAGATAGATAGATAGATAGATAGATCAGCTAAACTTCAAGGAATCTGCATTCTGGGATCTAAGAGGACCTAATAGGGATTTAGCTGAAATCAACAAAGTGCTTTCTGTTGGGAGGACTTCCCCACCCTACACTTGTTTTAGAAGTCCGTCATTCTCTCTCCCTTTTGGTTTAATGTAGGTCAGGGATGGGTAACCTTTGGCCATCCTGCTGTTCCTGGGCTCCAGCCCCCATCACCCCTAGCCAGCATGGCCCAAGGGATTATGGGTACTGTTGTTCAGCATCATTGTGAATGCCACAGGCCTTTCATCCCTGATGTAGGCATCCCTGTGTTAGCTTGTGTTGCAATGACAACAACAAAGACTACAGTAGTACCTCGGAAGTCAAATGGAATCTCCGTTCGACTTCCAAAACGTTTGGGAACCAAGGCACTGCTTCCTACAGCCAATTGGAAGCTGCAGCAGACGTTTGGGTTCCAAAGAGCGTTCGCAAATCAGAACACTCACTTCCGGGGTTGTGGTGTTCGGGAGCCAAAACGTCTGAGTACCAAGGCGTTCGGGATCCAAGGTGCGACTGTACCTAGTTTGCATCTGGCCCCTGGGGGGCTCTGTATGAGCACATGTGGCCCTTGGCTGAAAAAGTTTCCTTAATTCCAATTTTGTGTGTGTGTGTGTGCATACATGCCTCATGTGTTATTTCCGACGCTTGAGACCATGCAGTTAATTATTCACTTCTTCACTTTTAATTTGTACACCGCCTGTCTATACAAGGCGATTTATAAGCTGAAGAAACAACAAAATACACAGCAAAGACCACACACCTCATAACAATCTGAGGCAATGCAAACAAGTTATAATAAAATCATAACTAAAATAAACTACATGTGTATATCAAATAAAGCAATATTTGATCATCCATTAGAATATAACAAAGCAAACAGTAAAATTAAGTTTCAGCAAATAATAATTGAACAGTTTGCACTTAACAGTTGCAACAAAGAATTACTAAGCTACACTTAATTAAAGTAACAGCAAGTCGTAATGCATAAAATACCACAGAACATAACAAAACCACTAATGGAGTCTGTTATGTGAGGCCAGTCTTGGGATATGTCTCTGGAGAAAACCAATTCTTCCATTGTGTTGATTCTTTACCTTGCCGTAGAATTTCCTTCCTTCTCCAGAAAGCAATTTAACTGTTTATCTGATGGAGCCACCAAACACTTTCTTAATAGGTAGGGAGCTGATATTTTAAAACATGGCTCTTGGCCAAAAACAACAAAAAAGCCTTTCTTGTTACCTAATCTGGCCATATATGGAATTTTTACCCTAGCCGTATGTGGGAGATGGAGAGAGACAGATTATCATCTACAACTTGCAGCGTAAAACAAACTTTTCCTGAAATGTTCATGAACTAAAACACTTGTCGGGTGGGGAGTTGTTCGCTGCAGTCTTGGCTTTTAACCTCGGCCATAACCAGGTACAACCTGTTTGTTTTGTGTCCCGATTTCTTCTGTGTACTCTGCTGCAAAGTTGGTTTCTAAAGTGCCCAAGGGATGGAACGGAGGAAAGTGAAATTCCTTTCGTACCTGATTTTCCCCCTGATAGGAATAGAAAGAAGTATAAAGGCCATATGCAGCTTGTGCCAAACTTTTCCCTTGCTCCAGGCATCCTTTGGACTCCACAATTGTGTGCTCTGATGCCTTTGCTACATTGGCTGGGGGTTGTGGGAAATGCAACATTTGCTTCCAAGTCTTTGCTTTCTTGTAGCTTAATTCAAATTGTGGTTCCTGTTTGAGCTCTCTGAGGTTCTTGGTAATGCAAGGGGCAAGTACAGTGGTGCCTTGGTTCTCAAATGCCTTGGTACTCAAACAACTTGGAACCCAAACACTGCAAACCCGGAAGTAAGTGTTCCGGTTTGCAAACTTTTTTCAGAAGCTGAACGTGCTCTGTTTTGAGTGTTACGCTTCCGATTTGAGTGCCACAGTTCTGTTTTGAGTGTTACGTTGAGGTCTGTCTGTTTTTGCTTTTTATTTTGCGTTTTGGTTTTTGAGGCTCTTTATGTTTTGTTTTTGTGACTGTGTGGAACCCAATTCAGCTATTGATTGATTGATTGAGTGTCTGCAGTACATTGTTTATGGCTTTCGTTTTATAGATCAATGGTCTCGTTAGAAAGTAAAATTCATGTTAAATTGCTGTTTTAGGGGTTGTTTTCAAAAGTCTGGAACGGATTAATCCGTTTTGCACTACTTTCTATGGGAAAGTGTGCCTTGGTTTTGGAACGCCTTGGTTTTGGAACGGACTTCCGGAACTGATTGAGTTTGAGAACCAAGGTACCACTGTAATGAAAAAAGGGAAAGACAAAGTAAGTGCACACACTGCAGTCCATGTGTTGGTTTGCTTGGCTCCTAATACTAACTCATGGTTTGTTTTTGAAACAAACCACAACTCATCATATGGATGACCAAACAAACCATGGCTTAATTACCCCAAATTTGGATCCCGCCCCCTAGCTCTTCTTACCTTATGCCTTTGTAGTTTGGTGAAAATCTAGGGTGGGGTGGTCGTAGAAACCATGGTTATGGAAGGCGACTGGGGTCACACACATAATGCCACAGTTAAAACAATCAAGGTTCATAACCCAAGAACAAACCATGGCTTCAGGTCATGGTTTTCATAGAATTGTGGAGTTGGAAGGGACGACAAGGGTTCTTTGTTGGCAGTAAAGTCACCAGACTGAAAGAGGCTGGACGGGATTCACACAGCACTAAGCTAAGGTTTAATAAACCATAGCTTGGTGTTATGTGCGATAGCAAAAGATTGCTTGGTCGGTGTGGATGCAGCAGCTTTTGGAAATATAGAAACAGAGCCGGACCCATCCTTAGAGAGACTCGTACATCACTGCGAGTTTCTCCAGTGTTGGTGCTCCTCTGATCTGTGCCAAACAGTTGCTATTTGAGTTTGATTCATTGTCAGTAATTTGTAATGACAGCTCCCCAGCGGGAGGGCGGGGTGTTGTGTGAGGATGCAAGGCTGGGTTGATGGGGCCTTGGCAGTTGCACAAGGATGTCTAGAGAGGGACACACTGGCATGGGAAAAGGCTGAGTTTGGGATGCTCCAGGACATATTATGCCTGTTGTTTGTTGTCTTCCAGTCAAACTAGTCATATGTAGCCACTGTTTCAGCTGCAAAAGGTTATGCATGTATGACAACTGAGCGTCTTTGCATAAGAAACTTTCTGTTCCTGTTTATAAGAATGCTGAATTGCTCTTTGTCACTGAAACTTGGGCAGCATGGCGGTAGTCTTCTTGTGCACAGGGGAATATGCTAGCTAGAGGATGATAGGTTTCTGTTTTACTGCCATTGCTGCCAAGGAGAGTTTGGGTCATGCAGTTTCCTTTCCTAACTCTTCCTTTTTCAGTTTGCTGCTTTGAAAGTGTGCAGAAAAAGGGGCGCTTTGCACTCCAAGCAAGATTAGGAAACACATCTCTCTCTCTCTCTCTCTCTCTCTCTCTCTCTCTCTCTCTCACACACACACACACACACACACACACACACCCTACACACAATATTAGCACATGCACATTTATGGCATAGATGCAAATCTAGAAAGAATTACTGCAACTTAAATAGAAATTCAGTCCATCCTGCCAGAACGGGGAAGATTTTGATCAGGAGAACCCAACATCACTGCTCAGTATACTCTCTAGCTGCTAATTGTTGATGATGGGCATGTTCAGTCCCCCTCCCTCCCCCTTTCTGCCTTCTTGGGGTGATTGACATTTCAACTGGACTTAGATAGGCAATGCATCAAACGAAATATACCTTCCGATAGAGGATGAGGAAGTCAGATGCATGATCACCTTAGAGAGGGTGGGGCTGCATAAGCCGTTCTGAGTTCCTTGGAAGAGATTGAGAAAAGTCACGTTCACCTTCTAGTAGTCAAAAGTAGAAACCTGATTGGGATGGCTGACTCAGACTGGTAGAACTTTCAGAATAGCTGTGAATAAGCATGTTTGGTACATGCGTGGAGTCTAAATTTGGTAATAAGAGCAAAGTGTTACTGCAATGGCCCGTGGCATTTCTGAGGAGTGGGGCACCCCTGGAAATCTCTTAATCAACTACAGTGGTACTTCAGGTTAAGTACTTAATTCGTTCCGGAGATCCGTTCTTAACCTGAAATTGTTCTTAACCTGAAGCACCACTTTAGCTAATGGGGCCTCCTGCTGCCGCTGCGCCACCGCTGCACGATTTCTGTTCTCATCCTGAAGCAAAGTTCTTAAGCTGAAGCACTATTTCTGGATTAGCGGAGTCTGTAACCTGAAGCATATGTAACCTGAAGCGTATGTAACCCGAGGTACCACTGTATAATTAAAAATAGCTCAAAAACAGGTGTTGTTGTTATTTAAAGTTGTACATGCAAATGATTCTAGGGTGAAGGTAAAGGTACCCCTGACCGTTAGGTCCAGCCGCAGACGACTCTGGGGTTGCGCTCTCTGTAGGCTGAGGGAGCTGGCATTTGTCCACAGACAGCTTCTGGGTCATGTGGCCAGCGACTAAGCCGCTTCTGGCGAACCAGAGCAGCGCACGGAAACGCTGTTTACCTTCCCGCCGGAGCGGTACCTATTTATCTACTTGCACTTTGATGTGCTTTCGAACTGCTAGGTTGGCAGGAGCAGGGACCAAGCAACGGGAGCTCACCCCGTCACGGGGATTCGAACCGCTGACCTTCTGATCAGCAAGCCCTAGGCTCTGTGGTTTAGACCACAGCGCTACCCACTGAGTCCATAAAAACAGTATAAGGCTGTGCTCCCCACCCCACCCCCCTAGCCATGATTTCATTGGTGATACAGTATTGGGCAAAAAGCTACCCTTCAACTTTACTTTTACTCCAACTCCCCGATCACAGTTCAATGTATGGACCAGTTAAATAAATCTCAAACTGTATTTTCCTTGGAAACTTGTTTATCAAAATCTTGAACATCTGCTATGTTTTGTTCCCCTCCAGAGCATAAAGTAATAATAATTGGCTTGGACAATGCTGGGAAAACCACCATCCTCTACCAGTTGTGAGTACCTCCATCACACATTGAATTTTTATTTATGTTCAACTTACTGGTTAGTTATGAGGGGTTCTGTGAAGCATGCACACCATACATTTAACACAACCACGCAAAGAATCCTGGGAACTGTAGTTTAAGGCTGCTGGGAATGATAGCTTTGTGAAGAGTAAACTCCAATTTTGAGGGGGGAGTTTGCTTTAAATGTGCTTTAGATGTATGGTGCATACACAGGCTGCATTGGAACTTGGTGCAAGACTGAGCCTGTTTCAAATGTCAGGGCTAAACTGTGCCTCAGATATGGGGAGATTCATACAGGTCACGTTTGCACATTGCAAAAAGCCACTCTTATTGTGATGCAATGCCTGCTGAGCACTGACCAGTTGCTCCCACTTTGCTTCTCCCCGGCCTCACAAGATGGCGAGAAACAAACCAGGACGCCTTTGCTTCCTGTTATGTCCGAACCAGGACTCATGGTTTGTTCGGCTTCCTGATAACAGCCAACAACTGACTAATAATCGTTGCTTGATAAGGAGAAGACAATTACTGATTTGGACATAACAGGAAGCCAAGGCTTCCTGGTTAGTTTCTCTTGTTCACATCCAGTAAAGGAGCAAAGTAGAAGTGACCAGACAGTGTACACTTGCATGTTGCTTGTTCACAATATTGTGTGATGTGCAGATATGGGCCTTTTGTACCTAAATGGTGCAATTTAATTCACTATGGGTAGCACTCGCTATGGGTGGTGCTAGAACTTAGCTGAATACAACTCTTTGTACCCAAAGACAATACCTGAAATATTTAAAATGAAATGAAATGAAATGAAATGATAGATAAATAGATCAGCTAAACCTCAAGGAATCTGCGTTCTGGGATCTAAGAGGACCTAATAGGGATTCAGCTGAAATCAACAAAGTGCTTTCTGTTGGGATGACTTCCCCATCCTACACTTGTTTTAGAAGTCCGTAATTCTCTCTCCCTTTTGGTTTAATGTAGGTCAGGGATTGGTAACCTCTGGCCATCCAGTGGTTCCTGGGCTCCAGCCCCCATCACCCCTAGCCAGCATGTAACCCACATGTAGCCTTCAGGCCTTGAGTTGGACACTGTGCTGTGGAATATTCTTCCCAGGGAGATTCTTCCGGCGCCTTCATTATACTGTATACCTCTAGGAGCCAAGCAAAAATGTTCCTCTTTAACCAGGCCTTTGGCTGATTGACATCCAATGCCCTTTAAAAATGTGTTCGGGAGGGTTGAATTCTTGAGGTTTTTAAAAAAATGTGTATTGTATTTTTATCTTGTGATTTTATCTTGTGAACCACCCTGAGACCTGCAGGTATAGGGCGGTATACAAATTTTAACAACCACAACAACCTTTCCCCATTGGCCTTTGTGTATTGCACAAAGTGTATTGCACAGCTTCCCAATGCCAAGGCAGGGTTATTGTTGCCGGAAATCAGCTTTACCCTCCAGTCTGGACCCTTCCAAATGTTGGTGGCCTCCCATCAGCTTCACCCACCATGGCCAATCGCCAGGGAAGATGGGAGTTGTAGTCTAGCTTCCATAGAGATTCGGGTTGAGGAATCCTGTGTCACAAGCCTTCCCAGCATCTCCAAGATGTTGTAGATTGTTAATCAGAGCCAGGGGAGGAAGGCCAACGTGTCTCATAAGCCCAGCTCATTTTTGCAGGTTGGAGGGTGGCGAGGTAGCTGTTGAGGGCTCAGGCGGCTTACTTCTCTGATCTCCTTCCAGCCTAATGAATGAGGTCGTGCACACATCTCCTACGATCGGCAGCAACGTGGAGGAAATCGTCCTGCGCAAGACACACTTCCTGATGTGGGACATTGGTGGGCAGGAAACCTTGAGGTCTACTTGGCACACCTACTATTCCAACACAGAGGTGAGCTGCATGGGTTCAGCCAAATAAGGCGAAAGTAAATTAGGGGGTTAGACTAAACATTAGGAGAATTTCCTAATGGCACAACCTTGGAAGATGCTCTGCCTTATTAGCAGAGGCTGGGTGGCCAACTTTTATCAGGCAGGCTGTAGCAGAAGTGGATTTTCTGGACTGGTAGTGGGCTGGACTTAGATGACCTTTTAGGCACTTCCCAGTTCTGATTCCATGAAAAGAAATATTGCAGCGTAGAGAAGATCCAGAATGAGTGGCCCTCTGCACTAGAAAACATCACATCTCCCTGTCAAATTACCTACCTGGATGCAAGCATGAGCCTCTCAACCCATTCACCTTCTGCAAAGCAACCTGTTCCATCCAGATTGGGGTGAGATTAGCAGAGGGTTAGGTGTTTTACAGAAAAAGGTGCCTGTAAAGAAATGCAGATTATTTGAGCCATGTGCAGTTAGAAGAAGACTCAAAGTGCCCTTCTAGGGTCACTGGCCAATTAGACCTGGGAGACAATTCCTTCCCAATATAAACTAGGGCTCCAGGTTCCCTGCCTTTGAAACAGTGACTAAGACTGAGCTACAGATCATGTTTTGACCATGAGCTCACTAAGTTGCCTTAGGCAAGTCTCCTGAGCTCCCACTCCCAACCTGAAGTGCTGCTGTCCATTCACAGCCTCCTGGCCTGCTGTTTGTGAGATCTAGGTGTTAGTGGCTGCTTAACAATTCTGGCTGGAGAAGAGCCATAACTCAGTGAAGGACATATTTTGCATGTGGAAGATCTCAGGTTTGGTATACCAGGTAGAGCTGAGACAGATGATACCCCTGCCTGTCAATTACAGTGGTACCTCAGGTTACAGACGCTTCAGGTTACAGATGCTTCAGGTTACAGATGCTTCAGGTTACAGACTCCGCTAACCCAGAAATAGTACCTCGGGTTAAGAACTTTGCTTCAGGATGAGAACAGAAATCGAGCGGCAGCGGCGTGACGGCAGCAGGAGGCCCCATTAGCTAAAGTGGTGCTTCAGGTAAAGAACAGTTTCAGGTTAAGAACGGACCTCCGGAACAAATTAAGTTATTAACCAGAGGAACCACTGTACCTGATGTCACAATGACATCAGGTGACCTGTTTTCCTTCACCTGCATAGTTACAAAGGCACATCAGCTGATGGACTTTCAGCAGGGAGCTTGTGCCACACCTGACATCATCTGTAGGGCTAGTGGGCATGGCTTGGCCGAAACTTCCTTTTAGGCCAAATGAGGTGGTTCAACTTGAGTTTCTCCCCAACTTGCTGCAGACGACACTGGGCTGGAAGGACCAATTTCTGACCTAGTGCAAGTTTGGAAGGCTGGTGTCATGGGTTTAGTTCATTGTGTTCTGCACTGCCTGTCCTGGAAATTGTCTCATGTTGCAATGTAGTTGGTGGCCAGTTCAGGACATCGTGACTCACCTGCTATCTGATGAACAGAAATATCTGTCCCCTCAACTTGCGCTGTTTGAAGTTCCAGCGTAGAAAATGCACACAGTAATTTTGAACCCAAGTGTCAGTGGTTTGCAGAGGCGACGTGTTAATTTGAGCAAGCTGAAATTTAAAAAAGAGTGAACCCCCAGAAGTTCCAAGGTGGATTATAACTTTGATCTGATTTTAAGGGAAGATGATATTTACTTGTGCTGTATGCTTGCGTATATTATTGTACAGTCATACCTCGTGTTGCGTTTGCTTCAGGTTGAGCGTTTTCAGGTTGCGCCCCGCGGCAACCTGGAAGTACCGGAAAGGGTTACTTCCGGGTTTCGCCGCTCGTTTATGCGCAGACGCTCAAAATGATGTCACACGCATGCGCAGAAGCAGCAAATCGTGACCCGCGCACGTGCAGACGTGGGTTGCGTTCTGTTCATGTTGTGAATGGGGCTCCAGAACGGATCCCGTTCGCAACCAGAGGTACCACTATACTTGCAGTGGCCTGTGGTTGCAAGCATTAAATAGCTATCAACTCAGTATAAGGTAGATAGATTCCTCTGACAAAAACCATAGCTCAGTCATTGTGCACATGCTCTGCAGGCATAAAGGCCCATAGTCTCTCTCTGGCATCTTCAGGTAGAGAGGGGAAAAGACAGATCCTTCCTGATCCCCCAGAGAGTCACACACAGGCTGTATAAATAATACCAGCCTAGATGGACTCACAGTCTGACTCAGTCAAAGGCAGTTTTCCTTGTTCCTCTAACGGTATTCACAGTTGTCTCAAACCCAAATAGCCGTGTTCTGTCTACTATTTTATCCCTCCTGGCATATTTACACTGCAAAATACCCTCCCTAACCCATGCTTAGCTAGGCTTTGCTAGCCTTTCTTCCCAGGTCGTTGGGAATGAGGCTAAAATAATATTTTGTTGGGAGGAACGAGACTTGAGTCCTGTCTGCGTCACACGCAGCTCTCCGTCTGCTCTGGCAGAACAAAGCCAGGCTGAGACACGTCCGTTTGACTGCCAAGAGGACATTCTTGACATTTCTAGAAGCAGAATGTTCCCGCCCCCTTCGTTTCCCCCAACCACCGTCTATGTGTTTTCTCAGTTTTTGCCCAGGCACCAAATCAACAAAGCAAGACAATCCACTCACCCAAAATAAACCTCACCCCTTTTTAAAACAGTTTTCACACCAATTATGTATCGCTTATGGGAGAAGTTGAGGAAACTCGATGGCCCTGTGTATTTTTTCTCTCCCTACCCCCCCGACAAAATTTTAATTTGGTAATTCCTTGGCATGTATAAATTGAGCAGTTTTTGTTTCTGTATGTGTATATTGCATAAATTTGATGCTGTTTATGGCAAGCGACCAGGAAGGGCCGTAGCTCAGGGGTAAAACATTTGCTTTGCATGTAGAACAGGGTTTCCCAAACTTATGTTTCCAGCTGTTTTGGGGCTACAACTCCCATCATCCCTCGGTACCAGGACCAGTGGTCAGGAGTGATGGGAATGGTAGTCCAAAAACTGCTGGAGACCCAAGTCTGGGAAACCCTAACGTGGAAGGTCTTAGGTTCAGTTCCCCAAATCTCCAAGTTGTGATGGGGAAAGACTCCTATCCGAACCCCCACCCCAAGAGCTGCTGCCAGCCTGTGTAGACATGGCTACATGGACCCACTGTTCTGACTTTGTATAGGGCAGATTCCAGTGTTTCTAAGTGGCAGAGCCAGGAGCTATACAGAGCCTATAACCAAATTCCAGCTCAGCCATGACCTCTGCCATCCACTCCTTGGCTTTTTTGAGGTTTTGCCCAATTTTACTTTATGTTATTTTTTCTTCTTCTTTTCCCCTCTTGTTCCATAAAAGTTTATTTTTTCATAATGCAGTACAGTGGTGCCTCTGGATACGAACGGGATCCATTCCGGAGCCCCATTTGCATCCAGAAGCGAACGCAACACGCAACTGCGCGTCTGCACGTGCGTGGGTCGCGATTCGCCGCTTCCGCGCATGCGTGTGACATCATTTTGACCGTCTGCGCATGCGCGAGCGGCGAAACCCAGAAGTAACACGCTCCGTTACTTCTGGGTCACCGCGGAGCGCAACCCGAAAGCGCTCAGCCTGAAGCACATTTAACCCGAGGTATGACTGTACAATAAAAAAACCCCCAAACGAATCCAAATGAAAACAAAAATTGGAGGTGCAAGGTCTTCTGCTACCACAAGGGGGCTCTCTCCAGCCCGCCCGCCCCCCAATTGGCCCAGGAGGGGTTTGGAGGAGCCCCCAGAACATCATGCAGAAGAGGAGATTGCCTCATTTTTTTTTACATGCCATTTGAAAGACTAAAAAGCTGGACTTAGGAGAACTTCAGGAGAGGGAGGTCTTTCCACAGAAGTGGAGCCTTGTGGGGTGGGGGGTGGGGAGAGCTTCCTGATAGGGATCAAACAACAGCACCCAGCTTTACTAGGTTTTAGGTTTCAGCCCCATAGCTATGGATTCTGTTGCCGAGATGAGCTCATAGCTTTTGGTGCTTTCTGCTTCCTTTGTAGTTTGTCATTCTGGTGATCGATAGCACAGACCGTGAGAGGCTGACAGTGAGTAAAGAGGAACTGTACAAGATGCTTGCTCATGAGGTGAGTCTGCCTTGCCACACAGCATACAGAGGTGAGGCTGTTTTGCAAGCTGTATATTAACCATGAGCCAATGATGCTTGATGACAACCAAAGTTGAGGGTTCTTATATTTCAAAAAATGAAAATCAGGACAATTTGTTGAGCTTTTGGGGGGGGGGCAAAGTTGTTGAGCTATCTATCTATCTATCTATCTATCTATCTATCATCTATCTATCTATCTATCTATCTATCATCTATCATCTATCTATCTATCATCTATCTATCATCTATCATCTATCTATCTATCTATCTATCATCTATCTATCTATCTATCTATCTATCATCTATCTATCCCTCTCTATCTATCTCTTCTTTCTTTCTTTCTTTCTTTCTTTCTTTCTTTCTTTCTTTCTTTCTTTCTCTCTCTCTCTCTCTCTCTCTCTCTTTCTTTCTCTCTTGATTTGGCAAGAGAGAGAGAAAGAGAGAGGAGTTTTTGAGCTATTTTTAATTATACAGTGGTACCTCGGGTTACCTACGCTTCAGGTTCCATACGCTTCAGGTTACAGACTCCGCTAACCCAGAAATAGTGCTTCAGGTTAAGAATTTTGCTTCAGGATGAGAACAGAAATTGTGCTCCGACGGCACGGCAGCAGCAGGAGGCCCCATTAGCTAAAGTGGTGCTTCAGGTTAAGAACAGTTTCAGGTTAAGAACGGACATCCGGAACGAATTAAGTACTTAACCCGAGGTACCACTGTATTCACCAAAATCTACACTACCAACATGGGCTGCCATACGTCCAGATTTTCCCAGACACTTCAGCGATTTCCACCCAGACACTGCTTCCGACTGTAGTATTCCGGCCATGTCCGGGAAATTCTGGACATAGGGCAACTCCACCAAAGTTGCTGGACTAGTGCTGCCTAAAGGCCTGACTTGCACGTGGCCATTGAGATGGCAGAGTTCTGTGGTGGTCCGAACGGACTGTTTCTATTTCAGATTGGGCAAGGATCTCATTTTTGAATGTTCTGCTCTGGAACAATCACCCCACAAGTAGAAAGCTAGCTTAGCAGGCAGCAGGTTGTGCCAGAGCCTTCCTCCCCAGTGAGTCTTTGCAGGGAGTCTTCACATGGCAAGCAGCGGCTTTATCCCCATGCAAATAAAGATTCGTTCATTCATTCCCCACCCTGGAATAACGCATTCCATTCTACCATCTCATTTTGCTGCCTGCATGTGTAGACTAGGCTTGACAGTTGAGCACAAATTGCCTCAGGGAAGAGGCCAAATATTCATTAAGGTGCTTGATGATACATCTCCATCAGAAGTGAAGAACCTTTGGCCCTCCAGATGTTGCTAAACTTCAACTCCCCTAGCAATGACAAAGGATGATGGGAGTTGTAGTTCAGCAACAACTGGTGGGCCAAAGGTTCCCCACACCTGAGGCGGCCAGGAAATACCTAGTTATTTTAAACGAGTTCAGAGCAGATCAGGTGTATTGAAGGATCTTCTTGGTGTACTCTCAGAACCTTTTCCTATCATCTTTGAGAAATCCTGAAAAACGGATAAGATGCCACAGGACTGGAGGCAGACAATGTTCCAATCTTCAAAAATGGAGGAAAGGAACATCTGGAAAACTACAGGCCTGTCAGGCTGACTTTTGACACCAGGAAAAAGATATTAGAACTGATGTTCAAGCAAGTCTAATTGTAAGCATTTTAATAACAATGCAGTGATTAGGTGCTCACATGAATTTGTAAAGACTGAATCCCATCAAATTAATCTTATTCCTTTTTTAAAAATTGGTTTACTAGGCTAGTGGATTGTGAGAATGTTGTGGATGTAATTTATCTTGTATTCAGCAAAGCACTTGACAAAGCCCCCCCCCCCATATATTGGTTAGCAAATTGGCTAGATAATAATCTCCTCAGGTAAATTCAAGGCAAATTGGCTAGATAATAATCTCTTCAGGTAAATTGGCTAGATAATAATCTCCTCAGGTAAAGTCACAGCAAATTGGTTGGATAATAATCTCCTCAGGTAAATTCACAACTGGTATGAACAGCCTAAAATCACCCAGTGAGCTTCATGGCTGAGTGGGGATTTTGACACCCTAAGCTCTACAGAAGCTGGTCAGACAAATAATTCAAATGCTGCAGGTACACAGAGTTCAAATGTGTATCTTGCACACGTTATCTTCTGGTGTCCTAAGATGGACCTACATTTGGTTACTACAAATATTAATTTGGCTGTCTAAGAAGATTTTTTTTTTTTACGGAGTGACTTCCATATCTTTAAGCTGTTAGTTCAGTCTTATGGTTTTGGGTGGGCAGTAGTGTGGGTCAGAGAGTTGGACGTAAACGGGGAATTTTCTTCTTCCTCTCCCCAGGACCTGCGTAATGCAGCTGTGTTGATTTATGCCAACAAGCAGGATGTCAAAAATTCCATGTCTACCTCTGAGATCTCAAACTTTCTTACCTTGAGCTCTATCAAAGACCACCCGTGGCATATTCAGGGATGTTGCGCGCTCACAGGAGAGGGGTGAGTACCACCCATTTAGGCCAGTTTCGTAATCTCTGGTTTGAAATGGGCTTGTTTTAAACGATCAAAAAAATATGATTAGCCACGTTTGTCAGGTCTGGATGAAATGACAAGGTGTAGCTAATTGCAGCAACACTAGAGGAGGGAGGGAGGAATGTGTGATCCAAGGACTCACGGCAGTTTGTTCCTATCACAGTAAAACAAAATAAACGATGCATCTTCTTACATCCAAGATCTGGTGCTTTTTGGTGCTTTCTAGTGCTAAAACCCTTAATTTGTGCATTAAAATTGTTTTAATTGTCCAAAACCAGCTGTTTAAAAAACAACAAACACACACACAAACACGAGTATTTATATATAAAAGAAACTGCAAGTTACAATTGCCATCTTAAATATTGTGAGATATATGTTGCCTTTCCATGTGTTTTTTTTATAATTTTAAGGATGCTTTTAGTAATGCTTTGCAGCTCTAAAGACCTCAATTCATAACTTAGCCATTTTAAAAGGATGTTTTTAAGCAACTGCCTGCAGAACAATAGGATGTATAGACTTTGACAAGGTTTGCAAATTTAGCAGAGCTCATGTTAACCATTTTTTCTTTCAATAAACCTTTGCTACTTCACCAATTTTGCCCAGATTTTGTTTTAAAGGATCCTGGGACTTTAAGTCTTAGGCACCAGTGTTTTTATCTCTTACAAATCTGCATCCTGATTGTGGGGCAAAGGAGACATAAAGGGTGGGACAGAAGGAGGAATGATATACAAAGTCTTGTTCTTTCTTACGAACATAAATTCGTTTACTGTAATCAGTGAAAACTCATATAACTGATCGGAGGTTTCTCTAATCCGGTGACTGCCCTAATATTTTTCTAATTGAAAAATATTGTCCGTTCTGTCCCCCACTTTAGTCAACATTTGTTATTTCTGATAATGTGGCTTCACCATTTTTGACTCAGGGGTCATCCTCAGTTCTGCTTGTCGTTGGCCTAGAAAGTAAGAATCCAAGAGGTTTTCCATTTGTTCCGTGCTTTCTATAGTTCACCACTGAATTGGAACAAATGTCAGTTTGCAGAAAAACTGATTAATGTTGAGTAAACAGCACGTTTCCCCGAAGGAAAGTCGAAGGACAGTGTGGGTGAGCCCTCAGTCTGGGTTTAGGATGGAGATATGATGAGAAGGAGGGACGCGGGTGGCGCTGTGGGTTAAACCACAGAGCCTAGGACTTGCTGATCAGAAGGTCGGCGGTTCGAATCCTCACAACGGGGTGAGCTCCCGTTGTTCGGTCCCAGCTCTTGCCAACCTAGCAGTTCGAAAAGCATGTCAAAGGGCAAGTAGATAAATAGGTACCGCTCCTGGCGGGAAGGTAAACGGCGTTTCCGTTCGCTGCTCTGGTTCACCAGAAGCGGCTTAGTCATGCTGGCCACATGACCAGGAAGCTGTACGCTGGCTTCCTTGGCCAATAAAACGAGATGAGCGCCGCAATCCCAGAGTTGGTCACGACTGGACCTAATGGTCAGGGGTCCCTTTACCTTTACGATGAGAAGAACAAATTAGGAGGAAGACAAGGCACTTGTCCCTTGTCAGACAGCAGTGATAATATGGGTTGTTTACCAGGAGCTGTGCTTTGTGATTTCCCCATCACTAACTCTTCCTCTCTGCTCCCTGCAGCCTTCCAGCTGGTTTAGAATGGATGATTTCTAGAGTTGCAGCCAAGTGACGTCAGCCAAAGCTGCTTTTGGGAAGAGGAAAAACAAACTTGTCCGTGTATTTATTTCCATTTGGGGTTTTTTACAAACACTCAGGACTTACTGGACCTTGACACTTCCCTCCCCCACTTTTCTTCCCAAAGCCACCAGAACTTGATTTTATACATTTCTTAAAACATGGACCATTATAGAAAGCGTTTATGAATTGTGCCTGCAGAGATGGAGGAGGGGAGCTTCTTCTTGGACAGACTTTGCCTTACAAAAAGGGACCATTCTTCACGGCACGGCGGAAGGGAGAAAACTTAACGGCTTTGCTCAAGCATACCTTTTCAAAATGTCAGCCTTGTTTGGGGTGGGGAAAGGTTATGAAAGAGCTAAGCATCGAAAAATCAAGTAGTGCCTTCAGCCTTCCTGAAAAAGAAACATGCTTTGCCTTATGATTGTGGGATCAACACAAACCATATGCCTTGACCGTTCGCTCTGGGCTCTGACATACCTGGGCTGTGCTTCCCACATTGAGAAGATGTGGAAGAGACTTCTGGAGCCGATTCTTTGTGTTCCCAAAGGGTTGTTCCCATTTCACTGTGGATAAGTAGATGACAGAACAATCTGGGCACTGAGTTGCTCTTTGGTGCTTCTCTTCCAATCCGTTTTTGCTAGAGTCCTGACCTCCTTCCTTTTGCATGCGAACCTGGCTTGCCGAGATTGAGAAAGAGCTGTCTCAGCTCCATCTTCTGAGGGGGATTTCTCTTGGCATGCCAAGGCAAGTCTGGGACATGAAATCTGTAGGAAGCCGTGGTATACGCAGAAATCAGTTCCAGTAAGAGTGGCAGAATTTTTGTGTGTGGGGAAAAAGGTCAACCACTACCATCGTAAGCTAAGCAAGGAAGAAAAACTTGCTAAGTCGGCATGACAAGCTTATTTTTAAACCTTTGTGCAAACACCAGGAGAGTTTGGAGGAATGGGGAACAAGAGTTCACATGTGACTCAGCCCCATCACTGCCCGGTCCTGAGAGCCTACAAAACCCCTGCTGCAAGCCACAGAGGTTGGGGCCAGACTAGACATGGCTGGTTGTACCCAATGTTACTCCTACTCAGAGGAGACACATTGAAACGAATGCACATAATTTGCTTAGGTTCGTCATTTCAACAGGACTGCTCTGTTGAATTTCGTCGGCCACAACCCGCTGGCGACTGTACGCCTTGTAAACAATTGTTTTCATTTGCAATTACCGTATTTTTCGCTCTATAACACGCACTCATCCATAACATGCAGGTAGTTTTTAGAGGAGGAAAATCCTTAGGCATGCCACCCGTAGGCATTCCCTCCATAACACGCACAGACATTTGCCCTTACTTTTTAGGAGGAAAAAAGTGAGTGTTATGGTGCAAAAAATACGGTAATATGCAGTTTTTGTGAATGTGCTTTACACATGTAGCAGAATGAGGCAGTACAGCAAACAGGACCATTTTGGACTGCAGATGAGGGGGTATTCAAAAGTGGCATCCCTCGTGTTTTTAAAAAAATCCTTTTCCCGCCCCCCCCAAGAAAACTCACATATGAGAGAGAATATTCTGGCACAGCCCTTTTGCCTGATAAGCCAGTTTTCCATTTGTGTAGAGTTTTACAACTATAACACTGGTCAACAACAAATTTGTTGTCTGCGTTTTTTCAGTTGATTTAGGACGAATCTGATGTGCTGAATCCAAAAATCACATTGGTTTTGCTCAATCAGGTCACTTTTTTGAGCTATGGCCACATGTCTTTTTTATGTTTTTGTTCACATGTATGCTTGTGTGGAGCATTTTAGAAGAAGTTGGTGGGGGTAAAATGCCATGTCGTATAATTGTTTTGATTGGAAATTATTATTTTAATGACAAGAAGTATTCAGGTCCGATTGTTCTGGGTGATTATGTCGAAAAGGGATCAGTTTGAAGTCATAAAACCTCGAAATCTTCCATAAATTGGTGTGGCAAAGCATAAAGTTGGGGGATCAAAACTAAGTTAATGGGGCAGCCGCCCCACGAAGTATCCTGATCTTCAATCAGCACGTCGTCCTGTAGCTCATTGTGATGAAATTCCAGTGCCTATCTTCGGAGAACTTCCTGACATTAGTGTCGAAGATGCCTCCAGTGTTGAAGGACATGAAGAAGAAGTGGTTCTTGAAGATGATGCTCCACATCCATTTTCCCAAAAGGAGTTGAATGATCTAGTTCGCGACCTCAGCTTGTCAAAGGACTCTGCCGAACTGTTGGCATCCAGATTGAAGGAAAAAAACCTCCTCTCTGACAGTGCTCGCATCAGCTTCTTCCGCAACAGGCATCAAGAGTACCTCCGTTTTTTCTCGGAAGAGAAGGACTTGGTGTACTGTGCAGATATTGCGCAGCTTCTGCTCAAGCTTGGAGTGTCACAGTACGAACCCAAAGATTGGAGACTGTTCATTGACAGCAGCAAGCGATCACTGAAATGTGTTCTGCTACACAACGGCAACCAGTTTGCCTCTATACCCCTGGCTCACTCGAGTACACTGAAGGAGAACTATGAAGCGGTGAAGTATGTGCTGGAGAAAATTGGTTATGATCAGGATAAGTGGTTTATTTGTGTTGACCTGAAGATGGTGAACTTTTTGTTGGGACAACAGTCTGGCTTCACCAAGTACCCATGTTTTCTGTGCATGTGGGATAGTAGGGACCGTGCTCAGCATTACACGAAGAAGGACTGGCCTGTGCGGGAGGAATTGGTGCCTTGCAGAAAAAGGAACGCATCAACGACCCTCTGGTGGACAGAGACAGAATACTCTTCCCACCGCTGCACATCAAGCTCGGCTTAATCAAGCAGTTCACCAAGGCTCTGGACAAGGATGGTGACTGCTTCACTTACTTGTGCCAGGCTTTTCTAGGATTGACCATGGAGAAATTGAAAACTGGCATCTTTGGCGGTCCTCAGATCCGTCAGCTCATCAGAGATCCAGAGTTCGGAAAGTCAATGAACGAAGTGGAACTGGAAGCGTGGAAGGCATTTGTTCTGGTAGTGAAGAACTTTCTGGGCAACAATAAGGCCAGAAACTACACAGAACTTGTCAACAACATGCTGACTGCTTTCAGAAACCTGGGCTGCAACATGAGTGTCAAGATGCACTACCTATTTTCACATATGGACCAGTTTCCTGAGAACCTGGGTTCAATGAGTGACGAGCAGGGGGAGAGATTCCATCAGGACATGAAAGAGATGGAGACCAGGTATCAGGGTCGCTGGGACGCAGTCATGATGGCTGACTACTGTTGGACTCTGAAGAGAGACCTCCCTGCTGCTGAGCATTCCTGGAGTTCCAAGAAATGGAAGTTCAAGCTCTGAAGTTTGAAAAATGGTGAAGCAACATGCAATTTACGTGTAGTTACCTTTACCAATGCCCACCATTCAGTTTACAGTAAACCTGACCTGATGGAGAGAAACGGATGCCATTTCCTGATTCAGCAGTGCAAAAATACCCTAAATCAGTTGTAGAAATCTAGACAACATTCAAAAAGTAAAAAATTGTTGCCCAGTGTAATACATTCAGAAGTGTGATTTCAGGATGCAGTCTTGAATGGTGTAGTCCATCGTGGCAACTCAACTGTGTGACCACCACATGCTGCTGTATATGCCAAGACATAGAAACTAACATGTAGTGCCTCGGTTTCTCCAGCGTGGTAAATGGCACCCAGCTTTGGAGGCTGTACAATATACTTTATAAAGGTACAGGAATTATGTAGTCTGTAACTGGAAAGTTCTGCTGTGTTTTAACAGAGAAAGATTTCCCTCTCACACATTTTAAGCGTTCTCCTATTGTGGGTTTTCTTTTTAATATTTCCAGACATGATCTGTTTGGAGGTTTTTTTTAATTAAAATGTTTCTTTATTAAATGTGTCCTTATATTTTGCACATTCGTGACTTGCTACTTACTGCCAGATCTTCCTGCAAGCAAAACCTTTGCCCCGTATCGACCCAAGCCACAACTGCATGTGACTTCCTGCTCCACCACAGCATCATATGACTTATCAAGGTCCTATGCAACTTGCACCTGCAGATGTCAGCAGCTGCAGAGTGGCATCACAGCCATTCCTTGCCTGGAACCCTACAGGTGCTACGGTTGGTAAGCCTAATCCGAAGCACATAACTCGGGTTGGTACATCAAATCTTAAAACTGGCTTGTGGCAAACTGTATTTTCTGAGCAGACTAATAGTGCCATCTGCAGCATCTGTGATTAGGCCAGTCCTCTGGCAGGCAGATAGCCTGCCTTTTATTCCGCTTGTTTCTGAACCTCTGCCTGGAGGTCCTCTCCTGGACCCAATCAGCTATCTGCTGCTGAATTCTGCACTAGCTGCAATTTCTGCACAGCTTCCAGAGGCAGTCCTGGATCTAGTTTCAGTTTATTGGTTTTCATCCAGTCCATTACTGAGCGTAGACGCCAGTCTAGCACATCCATTGTCACACCTGGGGATGTAAAGGAGAAGTAATGGTAAGTAAAGGGTAAAGGACCCCTGGACGGTTAAGTCCAGTCAAAGGCAACTATGGGGTTGTGGCGCTCATCTCGCTTTCAGGCCGAGGGAGCCGGCGTTTGTCCACAGACAGCTTTCCGGGTCATGTGGCCAGCATGACTAAACTGCTTCTGGCACAACAGAACACCATGACGGAAACCAGAGCGCATGGAAACACCGTTTACCTTTCCGCTACCTATTTATTTACTTGGACTGGCATGCTTTTGAACTGCTAGGTTGGCAGGAGCTGGGACAGAGCAACGGGAGCTCACCCCATCACGGGATTTGAACCGCTGACCTTTTGATCGGCAAGCCCAAGAGGCTCAGTGGTTTAGACCACAGCGCCACCCGTGCTGCATGCCACCAGCACATTGATAACAATGCAGTCCAACTTCCCCAGAGGACCCCAACCAGAATTTAAATTAGAACTTAGCATGGGGTATAAAATCAACCCTTGTGATAGCCCACCTTAAAGGACTCATTGGGCTGACCAAGACCCACCCTCAGGAGACACCTGTCTGCAAAGTAAGGCAGGATGACCTACTCCCAATTCAGATGGATAGCTCAGTTGGTTAGAGCATGGTGGTGATAAAGCCAAGGTTGCAGGTTCCATCCTCGTAATGGGGTTGCACTAGATGATCCTTGGGGTCCCTTCCAACTCTCTAGCCGCTCTAGAAGGATCCTAGGGTTGATGGTTTTGAAGGGATCAAGTAGAATCAATAGGGTCACATTCCCCATCTCTCTCCTGACAAAGGCAACCAAAGTAGTAGTGTCCTTTTCCAAAGCCAGACCTGGATCCCAATTGAAATGGATCTAGGAACTTGATCTCATCCAAAAGAGTCTGGATCTAGTAAGGGTGATGGGAGTTGTAGTCCAAAACATCACTGGGGCTTGTAAGGCTGGCATATAGGGTACTTCAGGGGCTTCAGTCAGTCTTGTGTTCATTTTGTGCAGAAAGCTATGCAGAAAGACGACCTGTTGGTAGGAAAAGTCTCTCCAGCCCACCAGCCCACCCCAAATCTCTCTCAGGCCACTAAGAATTCATAGGGGGTCCTGCAATGCTGTAACTTATTAGGAAGGAATTCCGCTGCGTAGTTTTGCATCATGCAAAGCTGCTGTTCTTGCCTTCCCTTCCTTGCTTGTGGTTAATCTCATCCCTGGTCATGTAACAGGCACGGCTGGCTCAAGACATTTCAGCACCTGAGGCGAACCTCAAAATGGTGCCTCCCTCCCTGCCTGGGAAGATCTGCATCAAGGACAAGCAGAAGAGTGCGGAGAAAGACAACACCGACATTGGGATCTGATGACCTTGCCACCTGAGACAGTCGCCTCATCTTGCCTCATGGGTGGGGCGGCCCTAGTAACAGGATAACTTGATAGCCCTGGAAAAACATGAAGACTTGCAAATCAAGGCTGCTCAGATCTTTTACAATGGGGGATTTGTAATCAAATATTTGGCAGGTTATTTTGAGTCAATATCAAAGCCTCACTATTGGAAAAACATGTGGAAAACAAATATTAACACAGAACACTGACTACCTTATTCCTTTTGTGTCTTGGCTGCTCTGCTATAATTAAAAAGTACTTTTTGAGTTGCCAGGAGGCTGTTGGCCTCACCCAGGGCTCATCTGCACCATCACAAACCTCACTTCACACCTTGCCTGTTCCTGCATTTTTGGACTAGGAACTACACGACATTTCTACTGTCCGGCTGCCATCTTGGGTGTTGTGGAGCAAAACCCCACTTTTATCCTCACTCGTAGTAGTGCAAAAAGGTTTTATAAAATGATAAAGGGATGTTTTCCCTCATAATGTGTGTTTAGCCTATCAGTCTACCCAATGCTATTTTTTTATATATAGAAAAAGAGGTGCTGGAATTCACCATGAACTCTTGTTCTCTTATAATGACAATGGCGCCCACCTGAGAGGTGCTGGAACTGAGTTCCAGTGAGTTCTGGCTAAAAAAAGCCCTGAGACTACCAGTTGAAAAATGTCTGCAGGCCTGGAAGCTTTGTAAAAAAAATTAACAATAATAATAAAAATGGTTCAGGTCTCTAAGTAGAGCATAAGATTCAGCTCTCAGTATCGTTTAAAGAAGTCGTGGATTTTGTTGGGATTGTGGTTTGAGGTGCAGGTGTGGCAGAATTAAGCAATATATAGGCTTGTCAGGTCAGGAGTATCCCAGACCCCAAGGTTTAAGGGCCCAAACCTGAGAACTAAGGGTGGCCCCTGGTGATATCATTAAGCATGACACATTTACCACAGTTCAGCACCTGAAAAGGAAGTCAGAGGTATTTGCAACATATGCTTGTTGTGAACCGCTCTATAGTTTGGTGGTTACCTCCCCGCCCCCCGCCCCCCACTTTACTTTTCAAAAGAATCTTTCTTAAATTTCTTTGATCGTAAAAACTAAAAAAAGATGAAGAAACCAATTAGATGCAAAGAACGAGAGTCACTAACAGGCTTAAGCCACCTCGGTGACTCCCCATTTAGGCGCATGACTGCGTATAGGCACTGGGCAGAGACATAAATAATTTGATTTAAACTGTGAAAAGGGTGCGAAAAGAGCCAGGAAAGCAGCTAGCAATCCCAGGAGCCTTTGCAACTGCAGTCCCAGAACGCTTTGCAGCAACCATTGAGGTTTGGGGAGAGTTTTGAAGGTTGGGAAAAGAGGTTTGGAGGGAACGTTTGTGGTGGAATTTGGGGTTTTTTTTGGCAGAGTTTGACTGACAGCCACCATTGCCACCATTCATGCCTGTCTGGTAAGTGCTGCTGGTTCTCCCCCCCCCCCTAAGGGTTTCCAGAGACTTAAGAGGTTGTTTGCAGGCTTTTTAGATGGCGTAAGTGGAATGTCGCCTGTACAGTTTCCTTTCTCCTGCATATATTTCCTTCACAGTATTTTCAGGGTTTCAAGAGAAAGAAAGAGCTCCAAATGTCCATAGTCTAGTGCACATGGTATAAATAAATAAATGCTTCCCGTGTTTCCTCAAATGAATCCTTTTATCTTTTGTCCCCTGGTTGCTGTTAGTTTTTGTGTTATTTTCCCCCCTAAAATAGCACATGGCTATTTTTTTATTTAATTTTTTTTTTTACACCACTTGTCGATATTTACGTTCTGGCGCATCTTCCAGCTCTGAGCTGCAACCACTTGCTCTACAACTCCCCACCTCCCAACTAATAACCCCTCTTTTTCCTCAGCCGCTATGTCCATTTGAGACTTCAGAGGCAGTCTGTAGCTAATGGCAACAGCTAGGGAGGCATCGCACAACCTCCCTAGGCCTCACAATAATGGCAATTATGGCTTCTCTGCCATAATTTATGATTAAAAATATCTGCACCATGTGTACAAATGGGTGGGCGGATGTCACAGCATAGACTCAGGTATTTGACCTTCCGTTATCTGTCTCTGAAGGAAAAGGCAGAATGGACGCTACAAGTAGATGTATTTAGAAGTCTATTTATTTAGAAACTTAAAGCCCTGCAGTTCTCTTCATTGCTTTCGCGGCAAGTGGGGGCCTTCAGAGAGCCCTACGGCATCCCCTCCAATATTTCCCCAATAACAACAACAATTTTATTACAGTATATATATGACAAGCCATCTGACTGGGTTGCCCCAGCCACTCTGAGCAGCTCCCAACAAAAAATTAAAAACACAATAAAACATCAACCATTGAAAACTTCTCTGAACGGGGCTGCCTTCAGGTGTCTTCTAAAAGTCAAGTAGTTCACATTGGACTGGGGGGAAGCATTCCTCAGGGCCAGTGCTGGATTTACGTATAAGCTAAACAAGCTATAGCTTAGGGCCCCACTCTCTTGGGGCCCCCAAAAAAATTTAAAGGAAAAAACCCTGGATGTACATTTCCAAAATATAAGATAAAAAACAAATAAAATAAAACCTACATACAGCAACAGTGTTTTGTTTTGTGTTGTGTAGGCTCCTATAATGTAAGTAATGGGCCCCACCTGCTAGCCTGCTCCCTAAAATATCACTGGTTTGCTCATTTATAAATATAGGGTGCCTACATTCTGCATGGACTGGTTGCCTATTAGGTCCATAAATAACCATATACCATATATTCAACACAAAAAACAGCAACAATTTGTTGTTGACAAAGGACAGCTAGACATATAAAGGGCCCCATCAAACCTAAATCCGGCCCTGCTCAGGGCAGGCACCACTATGGAGAAGGCCCTTTGCCTGTTTCCAATGAAAATCTAGTCATACCTCGGGTTACAGACGCTTCAGTTTGCGTTTTTCAGGTTACGGACCTGCCGAAACCCAGAAGTACCAGAACAGGTTACTTCCGGGTTTCAGCAGTTGTGCATCTGCCGAAGCGCTAAATTGCGCTTTGCGCATGCACAGAAGTGCTGCATCACAACCCGCACAGACGCGGGTTGCGAACACTGCGGGTTGCGAACGTGCATCCCGCATGGATCTCGTTCACAACCCGAGCGTCCACTGTAGGGGCATCCTATTCCATCCATGTGATGTGATGGGAGTAAAAATTGTAGTGAACTTCATTCCCAAAACCCATAACAAACTACCGCTCCCAGGATTCTTTGGGGATAGCCATGGATTTTAAACGTTTGGTGTGGATGTGATGCCAGTCCCAGGCAGTGTCCTTTGTGCTCATCCTTCTTTGCGCAAAGACCAGGCCTTCTCTCCCCATGTTCCCATGTCGAAGTCTTGTATGCATGTATCAAAACAGTAGTTATCTGCTGCTTGCCCTACCATTCTTGGATTAGGAGATGGCGGCTGTAGCTTCCTGGTGAGCTGTTGTGCTCCAGCTTTTCTTCTGGAGGATTAGCTCCTGTTACTTGCTAGGCCCCATGCTACAGTTCATTCATGTCCTAGTCATTCAATTCTTCTTCTTCTTCCGCCTCCTCCTTCTCTTCGCTTCACTTTGTGAAGAGAACTCACCAAAATATCCCCACGCTGTGACTAATTGTGTCGCAGAAAACATCAAATAGGTGAATGAGCCACTTCTGCACCCATGGTAACAACTTCCAGAGACGGTTTGTTTTTGCAGGAGAAACAGCAAAGAGTGTTGTGGCATCTTACAGACTGGGACATTTATTATGACCTGAGTTCACAAAAGCACCTGCCATGTGCTGATCTTTAAGGCAGTGTTTCCCAACCACTGTTCCGCGGCACACTAGTGTGCCGCGAGATGTTGCCTGGTGTGCCGCGGGAAAAATTAAAAAATTGAAAGATTTTTTTTTTTTAAAGTCAAATTTTCGATTGGGGCGCCGTCACTAGATGACCCCTGGGGTTCCCTCCCTCCCTCCCGCTCTGCGCCTCCCTCCTCCTCCTCCTCCGGGGAGGCCCTTCCTGGCTCTCGGCCAAGGCTTGGCGGCTGCCACTCACTCACTCGCTCGCCCACCCGTCCCTCCATCCCTGCACCCGGCCTCTCCCCCTCCGTCCCCGGCGCGGGGGCTGCCGGGATCCGTAGTCCCCTCGCCCTTGGGCTCCGCGCCCGCGCGGGGTGCGCGAACTGCGTTTCCCAGCGTGGCCTGGCGGGCCGGGCGTTTTGTTTGAAGCGCTCTTCTCCCGGCCATGGAATGAGCGCGGCGGCGGCGGCCGGGCGGGCAGGGGCTCTTCCGCGCAGACCCCGCGCAGCCTGCCTGCGCCCCCGCGGAGATCGGGCGGCAGGATGGAGGCCGGGGATCCCCGTGGAGGCGGAGCGGCGGAGGCGGAGGCTGCCCCCCAGGTAGGGCTGCGTCGGGGGGGTTTTATTTTTGCAATGCTGCATCCGCGCCGGAGGGGACGCATCGGACCGCGGGGAGACCCCTTGGCGGGCGTGCAAGGCAATGCATGCGTGCAGGCGTTGCATGGAGTGCTGTGCAATGCAATGGCGACGCGGCGCCCTGCATGCATGCATGCAACTTCCACCGGCGCTCCGGACCTGGCAGGTGAGGGGGGTCCCCAGTGGGCGGCAGAGAGAGCCAGGAGGGCGAAGGGGAGCCGGGGGGGAGCAGCGCTGCTCCCCGAGCTGAGCCCGGGGGGAAACTTCGGCGTCGTTGCGCCGGGTGTTGGAAGCGGAGGCTGGCGGGGGCCCCTCACCTGCAAAACCTGGTCGCCTCTCATATATTTCGTGCATTGCATTCATCGCCCGCTTTCTCCTCCAAGGAGCTCCCGGGGGCGCGCGTGGTTCTCCCCGTGTTATCCTCGCAACAACAGCCCTGCGAGGTGGGTCAGGCGAGTGGCCCAAGGGAGCACCCAGGGATTGTCCTGGCCAGGTGGGGTGATTTGAACCCTGCTCTCTGCCCGGTCTTCGTCCTCATTTAGCCCCCACATGTGCATGACTGTGCATGACTGAGGTTTTCCCCCCTCGTCTTGGCTATGGTGTGAGTCTGTGCTGTTAATTAATGGGGTTCTGCCTTCGGAGAAGATGAGCCAGCCCTCAAGGAGGTGATTATGTAATTTGCTAGCAATTCATGTCCCTCCCGGCGTGACGCTGCGCGCTGACGTCACGGGGCTGTAATGGTGGTGTGCCTCGAGATTTTTTTCATGAAACAAGTGTGCCTTTGCCCAAAAAAGGTTGGGAAACACTGCTTTAAGGTGCCGCAAAGCTTTTCCTTACCATTTTCTTCCACGCCCATCTTCTAAATGGCATTACAACTGGGGGGGTTAGGAGTTGTTATTCAAGACTACAAATCCTCATTAAGCCTCTATGGTGAAATGACAATGTTTTTTTTCCCTGGTAGGGCTCCAGAACATTTTGCAACTGCATGCTGGCAGAAATTCTACATGGCAAAGGGCAAGACGTTTTATGCATTTATTTCTTTGTAACAATATTTGTAATATCATAAAAAATATCAAAGCAGTTTCCAACAACTGTAAACAAATAGGGACACACATACAAAAAAACAACAACATCCAGGTTAAAAAAACCCAGACATACCAGAGAACATTAACTATGAAATATTTACTTAGTTGCCTGCATAAGCCTAGTGCAGGGGTCTGCAACCTTTAAGACAAAAAGAGCCACTTGGACCCGTTTCCGAAGGAAAAAAAACTGGGAGCCGCAAAACTCGCCATTATAAAAATAAGTTTTTTGTCACTTTTTTATTATTTCTTTGTTTGACCCCTCAGAATTACTCCTCCTCATAGAAATAAACGTTAAATTAACACGTTACCTTTTTGTGTGTGTGTGTGTTCTTCACTCCCCTTCAAAACAGTGATCAGTGTACATGACCCCTTTCAATGCAGTGACCAGCGTACATGCCCCTTACAATGTAGCGGGCGGGCGGGCGAGAAGGTGATGTCGGACGGTGCGTGACTAACGTACGCACCACCCCCATGCGACGTCACAGCCAGTACAGCGCCCACCACAGTGGGGAGTGTCGGGGCGCACAATGCGCCTCCTCCCCTCGCTAGTATCCACCCCAGAGCCGCGGCAAAGGTGTAAAAGAGCCACATGCGGCTCCGGAGCCGCGGGTTGCAGACCCCTGGCCTAGTGTCACAGAAAAGTTTTCAGCAAACATTGAAAGATTACATGAAAAGGCACCCGCTGCATTCATGCAGTTGAAAGCACATTTTGTGGTGGTTTTGTTACTTGTGGTTTCATATTTACTCCTGCCATTTTTGTTGTGCATAGATGCCCTTCTCCAGGCCATGCATCCACAGGAAGCCCTGGTCAAGACAGGATGCATCTTGCAAGGGTCACTCACCTGTTTACTTGGCTGTATGATTTGTCCTGGCCCAGAGCAGATCTTGTGGTGAGCAACCCCACTTATTCCATTTTTAAAAATAATTTCATGATGTCATCATCATTTATGAGCATTCTGCTAGCCAAATGACCATGACTGAATAACTTTATTGTTGTGATTTGAAGGGGTGAGTCCCCAATCGTGGAGATATACAATATAAAATGCAATACATTTGGGAGTTCAGGGACATGTAAGCTTTTGAGTTGAGGGGCATGTGTAGTTGCCTTCATTTTTAGTGCTTTGGCCTACATTGGCTCCCAGTATGTTTCCAAGCACAATTCCAAGTGTTGGTGCTGACCTTTAAGGCCCTAAACGGCCTTGGCCCAGTATACCTGAAGGAGCTTCTCCACCCCCATCATTCACCCGGACACTGAGGTCCGGCGCCGAGGGCCTTCTGGCTGTTCCCTCACTGCGAGAAGCCAAGTTACAGGGAACCAGGCAGAGGGCCTTCTCAGTAGTGGCGCCCGCCCTGTGGAATGCCCTCCCATCAGATGTCAAGGAAATAAACAACTACCTGGCTTTTAGAAGACATCTGAAGGCAGCCCTGTTTAGGGAAGTTTTTAATGCTGGATGTTTTATTGTGTTTTTAATATTCTGTTGGGAGCCGCCCAGAGTGGCTGGGGAAACCCAGCCAGATGGGCAGGGTATTTAATATTATTATTATGGAATGGGGAACTTGTAACCAACTCCAGGACCACACTTTATTATTTATTGCTAGCTTGGCCAGAAATAAAGAACAGATTAAGGAAGTGATAGTGTTCCCCTTTTGAGTCTCAGGGAAATGAAAGAGTCTGGGGCCAAATACAACGTAAAGGCCTTGCAGAAAGGAAACTCTAATTTTACAGCACCCTGTTGATGTCTTTTGATCCAAGTTGTCTGCTAAGGAGAGCATTTCCTCCCCACCCCTGTTTTTTAAAGCACAAGTGTTGATCCTGCCCATTTAAGATGCTGGATCCAACCCGGAAACCAGTTTCACACAAGACAAATGTGAATATGAGCATCTTTCCCACTTGTATCACATGGGACAGCGACTGCGAAACGCAGGTGTTGCAGGCCGGTTTAGGTGCAAATTGGTTTAAGCCAAATATGCGAAAATGCCTCAAGACTTCCCTTTTCTATTTTTGCATTCATTTCTCACTGAACAGCATTGCATGGCTATGCTCCCAACTGGCCACCAGAGGGCAGGCGCTCCCCCTGTTTCATCCACCTCCTTTGCTTCTCTGTCTCTCCCCCTCCCTCCCATTCCAAGCCCTGCTCAGCTGAGCTTTGACAGTTTCTTGCTGCAGCCCCCAAATGCTGGGTTTTCTGCCAGTCGAATTCCGTCACAGACCAGGAGGAATCTTGCGGGATCTGCTCATTCCTCGCCACGAGCCCGGAGGTGGCAACTGCTGAGAGAGAGGGAGCCCGGGAGCCGAGGGGAGATACTGCTTGGGCAGGCAGAGCGGAAAGTTGTTGCCAAGAAAAGGTGGCGCTTTGGAGGGTCACAAGGATGCACCCTGAATCGCTGAAGATTTCGTGGGGAGCCCTCGTCCTGCTCTGGCTGCTGCAGGAGGAGGCTGTGGGGTCAGCAAAAGAGAGGCGAGCAGCAGGTACCACCCACATCTTCCGGGGACACTGCCACCCTCGTGTGACACTGTGTGCAAAGTGTGGACAGAAGTGGGGTGAATGCCAGGGATGTGTATGGCAGAGAGCATGCGTGGGGGTGTGTAGCTGTGAGTGGAACAGGGATCCGGGCATGCTCAGGCAGCTTGAGAGGAGGTGTTGTGAGCATGCAAGGGGAGGCAATGGTGAACAGGGAGCAGATCTGTGAAGGTGCGTAGACAGGTGTGCGAAATCGGGATCAAATGTGATAAGGTGATGTGCAAGCCTGTTAGCATTTATGATGGATGCGGAAGTGCTGGGTGGGCATAGGGGTGAGGGAGTACATGATTCAGTACGTGCACAAGTGTACCGAAATTATTTGGACCTGCGAACAGAAAGGGTTTAGAGTAAGTGCATGCCAGACAGGTATATTATCAGTATATGAAAGTCCTCCATCCGTGCAAAAACACATGCGTGTGCATTCAGGTGGTAGTGCTTGCAGCAATGAGTGTGAGCAGGTGTGCTGGTGCCCGTATGTGCACTTGGTCACGGCTGTGCACCACAATTCTGCACAGTTCTTGTGCGCACAGCCTCACAATGTTCCTGCGTAGCGCTGTGCACATCAAATCGCCCGTGTGCTTCTGGCAATTTTGCACTGGTTTTGTAAACGGTTCGACGTGGTTTGCCAGGTTCAGCCAATTTTGTAAAGGTTTCCTTTTCTTCAGGTTGTTTTGGGTTGCGCTGTCCACATGCGTTGGAAATCCAGCATGCTGTGCTTAAACCCGCAGCAGGAGCCCACTGGGATTGGCTTCGCCGTGTGAATCACCCTTTTGAACAAGCATGTGGCAGGGAGGTTGCCTCCAAATGTTTCATCTGCAGAGCTGCTGCACAGACTCACCCTCGGCAAATGGTGCTCCTGCTTACAGCCTTTGCCCCAAGATACCCATTGGAAGAAAGTGGTTTTGTGTATTTGGGGCAGAAGCTGGCTGTGCACTACACTGATTGGCTGGGGGCTTAAATGACAAGCCCACCTCCACTGGAACAGAATATATATCAGATCCATGCAGAGATTTAAGACACATACAATATATTATTTCTAAAAGGCAGGCAGCCCACCTGATTCAATGATAAGCATTGTAGGGAGACTTCTTTTTATGTTCTTCTATCCTGACGTTTGCCAGGATGTCTTGCACTTGTATGTATAGCAGAATATAAAAGTCCATGCATGTGTGCCAGTGATCCCGTTATATGTATGTTTGTGTACTTCTGTCAGCCTAGTGAGTTTATGCAAATAACCAGGTGCCTTTGTGTGTGACAACGATGGCAACCACCAACTCCCATCTATGTGGCATTTCAGATCGATGTTACAAAACTGCCCAGCTAAATCCGCTGTGGGTGGTGAGAAATGGCAGCCAGCGCCTGTAATGAATCACTCAGATGAGTGGTTCATTAAGACCACAGTTTGGGCTAAAGGCAAAGTTGCTGGCCTCACATTCAAGAGTCGTGCTGGCTGCCCTGAGGAGAATGCACCGGTTTCCTCGCTGCTTTTGCATGTGCATGGAAGCAAAAGTGCAGAAGTGTCTACTTGGGCACTTTTCAGCAGGTGTGAATGGGGACCAGTTCCTCTGTGCATGAAAGCAGGATTCAGGCATGTTGGTGCAGCGACAGAGATGGTGCACCTGTTTCCTCCTGTGTGTGTGTGTGGCAGTAAACAGGTTTGCACTGTGCACACGGAGACAAGAAGTGTGAATTCACTGCCTCAAGATTTACTGTGACAGCCAAGAGGTGTAGATGGCTTTAAAATGGGGTTGTTGAAGGCAATGGATTTATAGTCCTTACCATTTCACCTGCTGGTTGTATCTGTAGTTTGGGCGTTTTTTTAATGGCTGTTTTTGTGCTTTAATTGTGAACTGCTCCAAGAGCACAAAAGGGATGCAAGTGCAGGATAACTAAACGGGACCCTCAAGGTTCAGAGGCAGTATTCCCTGAATACCAGTTGCTGGGTGAGTGTTAGACTCATAGACTCATCAAGTTGGAAGGGCCCCTAAGCACCATCCAGTCCAGCGGTTCTCAACCTGTGGGTCCCCAGATGTTGTTGGACTACAACTCCCATCATCCCTGAGCTCTGGCCTTGCTAGCTAGGGGTGATGGGAGTTGTAGTTCAACAACATCTGGGGACCCACAGGTTGAGAAAGGCTGAACCCTGCAGTGCAGGAATGCTGCCCACAGCTGTCCCTGGGTGGGCTTGAACCACCAACCTTGTGGTTAGCAGCCAGCTGCACTAACCCATTGTGCCACAGGATTAGGGGAGTGAAAGGCAACCCGTAGCAGTGGGAAATTGCCTCCAAGCTCCAAGATGCTTTGCAGAGGCATCTGAGTGATCACTGTTGGAAACAGGATGTGAGGCTGCATGGGTTCTTGGACTGATCCAGGAAGGCTCTCCTTATGTTCTCAAATTGTGGGAGCTCCTATGGATGTATTGAACTGAGCAGTCATAGAGCGGAAAGGTGTCGTACACATCCCATGTTGCATTCACAAGGTACGATTTGGAGAAACGATACGCACATTTTTGAACACACAGCCCTCCAAAAAAAGAGAGCCTTGTGGCAGCTTTAAGATTCATTGTGACATACTGTTTTGAGGACTAGAGTCCACTTGATCTGATGCATAAAGCGCTGTCCTCAGTCAGTGTGTATGAGCAGTAGGGCCAAAAGGCAGTGAAATGCAAGGGGGAAATTTGTGACTTGCCATATGCAGAACCAAGATATATATATAACATGCCCTCCCAACATTTCTCCGATGAAAATAGGGATGTGTTGTTGTTCTTGTTGTTCCCTGCCCCTCTGACTGGGTTGCCCCAGCCAGTCTGGGTGGCTTCCAACATATATAAAAAACATCATTAAACATTAAACATTTAAAAACTTCCTTATGCAGGGCTGCCTTCAGATGTCTCCTAAAAGTTGTATAAAACAAAAAAAATTCCTTCCAGTAGCACCTTCAAGACCAACTAAGTTAGTTCTTGGTATGAGCTTTCGTGTGCATGCACACTTCTTCAGATACACTGAAACAGAAGTTGCCAGATCCTTCTATATAGTGAGAAGGTGGGGAGGGGTATTACTCAGAAGGGTGGTGGGAAAAATTCTGGCAACTTCTGTTTCAGTGAATCTGAAGAAGTGTGCATGCACACGAAAGCTCATACCAAGAACTAACTTAGTTGGTCTTGAAGGTGCTACTGGAAGGAATTTTTTTTGTTTTGACTATGGCAGACCAACACGGCTACCTATCTGTAAAAGTTGTATAGTTACTTATCTCCTTGGCTGGGGGGAGGGGGGTGTAGCATAACTCCATACCATTCAACATTTCTCCAATAAAAATGTTGTTGTTGTTTAGTTGTTTAGTCGTGTCCAACTCTTTGTGACCCCATGGACCAGAGCACGCCAGGCACTCCTGTCTTCCACTGCCTCCCGCAGTTTAGTCAAACTCATGCTGGTAGCTTCGAGAACACCGTCCAACCATCTCGTCCTCTGTCGTCCCCTTCTCCTTGTGCCCTCCATCTTTCCCAACATCAGGGTCTTTTCCAGGGAGTCTTCTCTTCTCATGAGGTGGCCAAAGCATTGGAGCCTCAGCTTCAGGATTTGTCCTTCCAGTGAGCACTCAGGGCTGATTTCCTTCAAAATGGATGGGTTTGATCTTCTTGCAGTCCATGGGACTCTCATGGGACCCATAAAAATAGGGACGTCTTAAGGAAAAGCAGGACATTCCATGATCACATCAGAAACCGGTACAGGTTCTGTAAATCTGGGACTGTCCCTGGAAACTAGTGACACTGGGAAGGTCTGATATAATGTAAGAACAGATTGAACAATTCACAGAAGCCATCATAATTTAGCTATGCTTTGTTATACTAGTTTCACATGAGTAGAAGGAAAGAAGCCCACAGTTCTGATTAGGTCTGGACTGAGTCTAATCAAATTTGCTGATATGCTTCTTGGGTTCAAGAATGAGGACTTTGAGGTCAGCAGCAGGATGTCCTGAGATGCTGAAATGCCCTCCTATATGAATGTTACCCTTGAAAATGAAAGATCTGTGTCTATTTATTTATTTGTTTGCACAGAGACAGACCTGTTTGTCCGACATAGGCAGCAGAAAGGCACTGTTGGCAGGTGATGCCATTTTCCCTGTTTTGGGATGAAAGGGCGAATGAGACCCTGATGGTATGGAGGATGTTATTAGCTCCTGAAATAGCGCTGGCATCTGGGTTAATTGCATAGCCTTGCCCCTGAATTTGTATCTCTGCTAGGTGTTTTGTTGCGGTTAGTGAATTAATAACCGGTTTAGATTAGGAGAGTTGCCTTTAACTGAGAACAGACTCACCATCCAAGGACTGTGTGAAAGAAACGTCATTTTCCTGTGAATGAGCTACAGACACAATTGATGATACAGTGGAACAGTTTTAGCTGGGAGCTTTTTTTTTTTTTATTAAATTTATATGCCACCCTTCATTTAGAGAGCACAGCTTTAGGGGACAACAGGCCACACACTGTCACTTTATTTTCTAGGCCTGCCTTCCTCTAGGGCAGAGATTTTCAACCTTTTTGAGTCCACGGCTGCCTTGACCAACTACATTCTTTCTGCGGCACCCCTGTGGGGCTCAGGAGCCCAGTTATGTCAATCCTTGCCTGCAGAACTGGCAGCCTCTCCCCCTTTCTCCATCACCCTCCCTTGTGGAGTGTTCCCTCAGCCTCCTCTCCCCTCTCTTTGGGAGTCCCCCAGGTAGCCACCCCTGTCTCTGAGCTGCCCACCCCAAAGACAGGTGCTTCCTCACACTGCCCCACAGGGGCCTGGGACTTGTCTGTCCATCCCCAACAGCAAAGGCTGGTGGACTGGCTGGCTGGCTGGGCACCCTCACCTGCTTGCTTCAGCTCCTGGCAACCAGCACCCCCTGGCCAGCTTCAGAGGCACAATTTGCCTGCGGAGCTTGTAGCCAGGACTGCTGCATCAAACAGCT